CTAATCCACCCCTCCCCCCTCCTGGCGGCCTAGGATTGTTGCCAAGGAGACAGCCCCGACTCCAGTTTCCAGAGGCACCGCCCCTACTTCCCAGGGAGCCCCGCGATTGGCCGATGGGGCTCGCGGTCCGCCGCCCCGCCTCCTCCAGCTCCACGGGCTGCTGGGCGTTAATGGTCGCCAGGGAACGCGAGGCGCCTTTCTGATTGGCTATGGGCGCCCAGTGCGGTTCCGCCCCTCCCGTCCGCCAGAAGTGCCCGCGGGAGTGAGTGGGCGGGAGGTGCCAGGCGTCTTCCCTCGCTCCGAGCCTGTGCTTTCAAAACTTTTCCCGCCCTCACTGACCTTCCATTATGTTTTTCTCTCTGAAGAACGCATGCCAAGAGATCTGAGGAAAGACACCCTTTCTCCAGCTTTCCTTCTTCTTACAGCTTCCAGGGGCGAGAGGAGCCAATCCAGGGATTCCCCCCGCAGGGAGGAGGTCTCTCTTTTCTAATACCTTGCCTCCCCCCTCCATCTTCCCCAAAGCCGGAGTTTACCTTAATCCCTGGGAACCTTAGTCCCTGGGTCCTGGATTTTTCTCACCGGGAGGCAGGATTCCTTCCGGGTGAGGGTGATACAGAGGAGTTAAGGAAGGGAGCTGGACAGAGGGAACCGCCTGGCCTTCGAAGCATATTAAGAACTCTCCAGGCCTGTCTGACCTGAATGGAGGCTTGTAAAGGAAGGGAACGTGAGAAACGCTGCCCCAGGTGCAGCTTTGACTTGAGAAAATAACCCTGGACAGACAACTTAATATCATCCTATTCTTGTCCTTTTTTCTATCCTTCATGCTGAAACAAGTTTGGCAGCGTTCTTCACAGTTAATGAGCCAGATTCTCCCGTGTGAGTGCTGCAGAATGGATTGTGTGTTTCCTTGTTGCCTACCCAGATGATGGGAAGAAACTTTGGGAGAAAAGATGGCATATTCTATTTTCCTGAAAGGAGATGTAAAACAAATTTGGAGAATGCCAACTATTGGAGGAAAAAACTCTCTCAATAAAGGCTTACAAACAAACACACAGAGATCATCGCACAGATGAAGTGGGGGTAGCTTTCTGCCTCCAGAGGAACAGCTTTCAACTCCATGCCGCCCTCCCATCCTAACGTCTGTTTGTCCTAAAACCTTTTCCAATAATGGCTTACATGGTCCGGCACTAGAGAGCCTGTCCAGGCAGGCCACCCTTCAAGTGTGCTGATTGTGGGAAGAACGGGACATGGGGTACCCTGGTCATCCCCAAAGCACTCACACAGGTGAGAAGCAAAAATTTCCTTCACAAAATACTTTTCTCTGACCTCCAACTTACTGATCCACCAGAAAATTCATACAGGAGAGCAGCCACACCCTACAAAATATACAGTGAAGACTCCAGCCACAGCTCTGACACAGTCCACTGCCTGTACAACTCTCATGAGCCACAAGCTCTAGGTGTGGCAGAAATTGGGTCAGGAATTCAACTGTTCTGGCACCAGCATTTCCACGTGGAAATGCAGCCTCGCTGGTGCAGGAATAAGAGTGGCTGCTTCTAGCCAGCCTCTTCCAGCAAAGGGACCTCGACAGACAGCCAGACAGCCTCCACTGGCCACACACCCACAACAGTGAGAGGCTCTAAGAGATGCAGGAAAGCCTCTGATAAGGGTTACAACTTTACCCAGCACCAACTAACCCAAAGCAGAAGAAACCTGGAAGTCCACTGACCTTATTCTACCACTGTATCCATGACAAGGATGAGCCCTGTGCATGTCCCCTGGCATGCAGAAGCACTGGGGCAGGGCCACTCAGCCTGAAGCCAAGGCTTACGGTCCAGCCGATGCGGCCATCATTGCAGGACCCATGCTAAAGAGAGCCATCACAAAGGTTTTCAGGGTGAAAGGGACTTCTGCATGGATTGCTCCTTTCCTGCATGCAAAAGGCAAGCCCCATAAGTGACATTCTGTCAGACACTAGGAGAGATGCCCCAATATATTCACTGTCTCCAGATACCCAGGAAGAGAGCAACCATGGCACAAGGCCCTTTGGAAAGAATAAATGAAGGTCTTTGTGTATGAGTAAGCATCACCTGGCCTGACATTTAGGACAGGCCCTGGGACCAGCCACCACTCTTGCAAACCTAAGATCAGCCAGGAAATGCTTAGTTCAGAGCAGTGTTTCTCTCAAACTTTCACAGGCATAAAATTCCATCCCTGGAGGTTGTGATTCAATAGGAGGGACAGGACCCAGGGAGCTAGCTACATTTTTGATATCCCATATGCCTCTGGCCTAGCTTCTTTGAGTCATAAAAATCTTTGCCTGTCTATTCCTAGAAACACACATACACAAACATTCCAAGTAATTATAGGGGTCAATACTTACCCCTATTTTAAATGGCCTTAACAAGCCAGGAATGGGTGGCATAGCCTTTATGTCTCACTCTGGCTGGCCGCTCAGATGGGGCTTATTCTGTCTGGTGCAAATGAGCATTTCTTGCCATGCACCAGTGAGGCTGTGGGGAAAAACCCTTCCTGGCTTAAATTGCTTCTGGGGCTGAGCCTCGAAGACCTGTGGTAGCCAAAAGGAAGCCCCAGCTTTGACAAAAGTATCTGTGCCAGGAAATGAGGAGCCCAAAATGGGGTGGGGCTTGAGGCTCAAGAGTTTCATGACACTAAAGTAACTGACAAAATGCTGGAAAGTTGGTTCATGAAGGCAGGAGTTGGGTCTGGTTTCTGGGCCCCAAACACGCTTCACAAACTTCAAAGCACTCAGAGACCTCTAAGTAGTCATTATGGCACCTTTAATTGGCAAGCTGAGGGCCAAGACCTTGCTTTGAGTCTGGGCTTTCCCCAGACAGTGCTGAGGGAGAAGGGCAGGGAGGGTATTGTACACTGGGAACGAAAAGCTGGTACCAAGGTAACTCCTCTTCTCACCCCTGGCCCCCTTGTGATAAAGTGGCACATGAATCAATTCTCCCCAGAAAAGCTTAGCATAGGGAGGTGTTAGATTTGACGATTAGGTTGAAATCAAGTCAGTTCATTACTTCAACTGAACAGTGTCTTTTCTCCAACTTTTCTACCTTTCCATTTTTACAGATCTGTTTTTCCTCCTCCCTAGGTAGGCCAAAGGGCTGAAATGGACGAATAAGGCGAGGGCACATAGACCGGCAGAGGACGTGGGCCCTAGTGACTCCTCTCTGAGGTGAAGGGTTGCCCTGCCCAGTGGCAGGATAATGGAGTCACAGGTGATAGGGCGGGCTTCTGTGCAGAGCTTGGGGATACAGTTGGGTATGGCCCTCTCTGGCTACAAGTCAAACCCCAAATGTTCCTGGCCTAGTCGTCTTCTGGTCATGACACTGGGTACCTAGAAATAGCAAAGATGCAAGCCTTGCTTTTGTCTGTCATGGGACCCATCTCAGGCTGGTTTCTCATTGTCATGATCTGTCATGTAGCTGTTTTGTCAGACTCATCTGGTACGTGAGCTTTGCTGATGCTGGCTAGTCCAACTTAGTCCAGGTCAGTACCTGGGTGTTACAATGGGGAGTGGGCAGATGCCTCCAGAACCCTGGCTGAGATACTGACAGGGAACTCAGGAGTGATGGGGTAAAGGCAACAATAAGCCAATAACCCTGTGGTCACTGTGTGTGTGTGTGACCTTGAATAGGTCACTTAGCCTTCCCTCGTTTATGACAACAGCAAGACTGAGAAAGCTAAGAGCTCTTCCAGTTCAAAAATGTGATGAAGCCCTCCTGGCTGGGTTGAGGGTAGCTAAGGAGACCTGAGCTGTGAGGTTCTCTCAGGTAGGCTTAAGGCAGACTGGAGGGAGCTCTCAGGACCTTCCCCTTCAAAAACAGGAACTGCCGGTCAGCTGAGAGTGGGACTGTGGCACAGCAGACATGCCGCTTGGTTTGGGACGAAGACTCAGTCCTGATGCCTCTTCCTGCCTGGGATATCCTCCTCCAGCAAGTTGCTTCTTTCCCCACGCAGTTATGAGGGCGAATGAGTTGATGGATGAGACAGTACTTAGTAAACCATAAAATGCAATACAAGCACCTAAAATAAAGTCTGCTTTTTCTTCTCTCTTACCATCCTTTGATTCCGGGAAACCTGAATGCTATAGACCAGTTTGCAAGCTCAAATGACTACATGTGCCCAGCAGGTCAAATAAATGAGTGGAAAATGCCAGATGGAGAAGGCCCGCTTTAACAAAGACATGGGTTCAAGAAACACTTCACTTTCTTCTTTGCTCTACTTTAAGAAAAATACCAAAAACACTAAGAGCAGGCCATGCTGATGGCAAGTGATGCCTGGAGCTGACAAGGAGCAGCAGGGCCGTGATGAACAGAGAGCTCAGCTACACCGTGGGGCAGCTGCTGCTCAGCTCCCATCAACCGTGATTTTGTGAGAGTTTAGGTTAACTGCCAAGTCTTTGGGTTTTTCAAGAGAAGCCAGAAACCTGGATTTTTGTGCAAAATACTCCAGCTTTTAAATTTTGGCCACTAATTCATACCACTTAAAAATGCTGCCTGGGCCAAAATAAATACATAAATAAAGCAGCTGCAAGCCAGGTTCAGCACAGTCATTGGTTTTTAACTTCTGCAATTAAAGGCTGATGGGTAAGATGAGGTTCTCCTCTAGTTCAATCCTCTTAACACTTTTGAGCTGAGAAGCGGCCTTTGCTTCCCCAAATGAAGGTCTAGTGGGAGTTCTTACCTCAGCCCTGCCTCAACAAAGGGGACCTTCTAAAGTCTGGGGCAATAGGGAGCAAAGGTATAAGATAAGACTATCCTCATCTCCCAGGCCCAGCTCTTGCCGGAAATCCTGGGACCTCCCTGCAGGCCACCAGAGATTCAGGCTCCTGAGAGCCCATTTTGTGTCTCAGGCAATATCTAGATCTTCACTCTTTGCCTTGTCACTTCTGAGGCCTGTCACCCACACTCCTGAAATATCTCTGGGTAGAGCTGGAAGCCCACAGGTGGGTCCAGGTCCCCTCGGCCAGGAGCCAGGGGGACAGACAGCCCACTGGCACCTCGGCCCCTGCGCCCTCTAGCCCCTGGCCGATGGACCCACTGGTGCTTGGCCATGGCTGACTTCTGGCCAAAGCACCTGCCACACTGAGGACAGGGGTAGGGCGCTCGCCACTGTGAGTGCGTCTGTGAGCGGCCATCTCAGAGCTCTGGCGGAAACAGCGCCCACAGTCTGGACATGGGTAGGGCTTCTCGCCGGTGTGGGTGCGCAGGTGGCGCCGAAGGTCTGAGGCATGGGCAAAGGCGCGACCACAGTCCGGACAGGGGAAGGGGGTCTCCCCACTGTGGACCCGCTGGTGCTGATAGAGGGCTGAGCTCTGGCTGAAGCAGCGTCCGCAGTCGGCACAGCGGTAGGGCTTCTCTCCCGTATGGACCCGCAAGTGGGTGGTAAGGGCGGAGCGTTGGGTGAAGGCCCGACCACAATCAGGACAGCGATGGGGCCGCTCCCCTCGGTGGATGGCCCGGTGCTTGCTCAGGGAGGAAGCCTGGCTGAAGCCCTTGCCACAGTCAGGGCAACGGAAGGGCTTCTCACCCGTGTGAGTATAGACGTGCTCCACCAGCGTAGAACGCCAGGCAAAGCTCTTTCCACACACATAGCAGCCATGACGCTGGTCTGCTCGTGGGACAGGGGGGTGGGCACAGAGAGGGGGGCGGCCCCGGCGAGGTGCCTTGGATGGCTGCTCCAGACCATAAGGAAGTCCAGCAGAGGGGCGCTGGGGAGCCACCAGCCCAGGAAGCTGAGCAGCCACAGAAAGAGTCTTCCCCAGTGCTCCAGTCCTTTCCCTTTGTCTTTTCTCTTCCTTGTTTCTGGAATCTGCTGGAAGATAAGGGGAGAGCTCAGACTCAGGCTCATCCTGGTCCTTGAATCCCACATGGTGACAGCGAAACCTCTTAGATACTGCCACTCTCTGGACCCATGGCTGCCCCTGGGACTCAGCTGCAGAGACAAGAAGAGGAGGGGAGGGAAAGAAAGGGGAGGGGAGGGAAGGAAAGAAGAGGGGAGGGTAGTACATTCTGCTACAGGGTTGGGGGAAATGTCACAACGGGGTAGAGGGGAGAGATGACAACATCTGTGCTGGATCTTGAAGACGAGCAGATACTTAAGGGTATTTCAGGCATCGGGAGAGGGCAAAGAAATGCAGGATGGGGCGGGCACTGTCAAGTTCAAGCCATGGGGCTGGGCACTCTGCAAAGGCTGACAGGATAAAGTGGGGAAGGCAAGAGAAAGTAAATAGTAAACGACAGGGGGTAAAGTGGAGGTAGACGCAACAGAGCCTAGTGACCAACTAGACGTGAGAAGGCAGAGGCAGCAGGTATGGCAGAGCCCGAATCCCCAATCACAGCCCCTTTCAAGGCTGCGTCCCGAAGCCAGGCAGGGGCCAGGCATAATGGTTGAAGCTAGGAAAGCAATTCAGGGCAGCAGCTGCAAAGCAGGCAACTGGAGGCAGAGGGCACCGAGACGGGTGAGGCACGGAGAAGTCCACGTGGGACTGAGTACCAATACTTCACCTGAGTCTACTTCTGTCGGACACTTCGCCGCCACCGGATCCTGGGCGTCCGGGCCCCAGACCTCGGCCTCCTCCTCCACCCAGGAGATGAGCGCTGGCTTGGTGCCTCCGACTCCTGGGGGGTAAGAAGGCAAAGCCCACGCTACGGGGAGGCTGTCCCACGAGCTCCCGCCTGCCCGGACCGAGGGCCTCCCGCTCCAACTGC